CTCCTCCTCCTCCTCCTCCCCCCCTCCTCCCCCTCCTCCCCCTCTTGCTCCTCGATCCTCGGTTCTGGAGGGCCGAAGCTCCTAGCTAGGCAACCCAGCTCCGCGCATCCCGCCCCGCGGTGCGAGGTTGTCGTCGCACCCTCGCGCCGCCGCCCTGGAGAAGGGCGCCTCTGCACCAAGAGACGGCCCGGGGACGAATCACTGCCTCAGAGGAGGGGGGTGAGACTTAAGTCGCGCGTGTCCCCCTACAGGCGGATTTGGGGGGAAAATCAGAAATAGTGAAAACATACCCACAAAAATGCTCAAAGACAGTCAAAACATCGTCACACACGATGCTTGTGCTTGACTCTCTTTGAATACCCCTCCTGTAGGGGGACAGGCCCGACTTAAGGCGAGACCTCCGGGGCCGAGGACTCAACAAAAAGCGTCGTCGGATGTCTGGGTGGGCGGCGGAGGGCCCGGGCCACCCCGCACTCCGGAGGCGAAAAACATGGACAACCCGCGACCGAGACCGTACCGGGAGGGGCCGCCCTCGGGGCGGCGGCACGCCCTAGAGCGCCACCGGCACAGGACGACGACGCTCCGGCGTGCCCCCGCCCAGGGGTCGGCCACCCCCGCAGGGTCCTCGCTGGGGGTGGCCCCTGTCCCAGACGTGCGATGTCCCACCGTTCACCTCTTCATCCCGGGTCGTTGCATGACGGCGCCCGGGCCCGGCGACGGCCCCTGGATTACCAGCCTGGAACATATCCCTATCCCTATGCTGGGCACCTCCTCATCACGATGCCGATCTTAGGGACTCCCTTCTTTTTTGAGGGCGAGTCCCTGAGATTGTCATCGCCTCCTGGCGTGTCAATCCTAGGGAACGTTCGAGGCCGGTAACTGGAGGGCGGCGCAGACGGCCCCCTCCCCGGGCTTTCGGGTCTCCGGTCGGGCCTCCAGCGCCCGCTCGGGGACGATCCCGGCACCCATCCCGGAAGGCCCTCGGCGAGGCGCAGTCGCTGGACAGCAGCCCGAGGCTGGACCACCGAGCACCGAGCATCCCGAAGACGCCCAGAAGATCTGAAGCCCCGAACCTCCCGCCGTGGTTTTTCGGGAACGATCCGCAACACAAAAAACTCCCGCCGTGATCCTGCCACGACGAGAGGGGCCGGCCCTGAGTCTCTCCCCGGCCGGGACCGCGCCGGGGCGGCGGAGGTACGTCGCCCCGGCGCTGGCCGCGCACGGCGCAGGAGGCCCAGGCGGGGCTCGAGCTGAACGGTGTCCTTCGTGCTCGTTTCGTCCTCGTTTCTCTTCGTCCTGTGTTCCTTCTGCTCCTGCTGCGGCACGAGATCAAAAGGAGAACGGTCCACGAAAGCGCCCCCACACCGTTCAGCCCGAACCCTGAGGCCCAAGGGAGCGTGGGGGGGGAGGCCCGCTTCTCGCGGGCGAAAGCAGTGTCAGCATCCGCGGCCTCGCGGGCCGCGATCCCCGGGTGCGGGGCGTGGTTTTGCTCGCCGATGCCCCGCGCGGAACGTGCCCGTGCGGCCGCGTGGCCGCGGGATCGCGCCCCCCGATCCAGACCGCGAGGCCGCGGACGCGGGCAAATCTCCGCCGCTCGTAGGCTTCGGCCGGCGGGGGCTCCAGCAGCTTCCGCGCCCCCGCGGGCCACAGGACGTAGCCGACCGTCGTCCACAGGTACTCGGCCTCCCGCACGGCCGCGCCGACCTGCCGCCCGCGGCCCGCTCCGAGCGAAGGCGCCGACAAGGGCGAGCATGCAGCCAAGGGGCGGGCAACACACTGGGCTGTTCGCCCCGATCGTCGCCTCCGATCCGGGATTCGTGGACGACTGTGTCGCCCACTCCGAGAGGCCTCACGCAGATGAGGGGGCCCCGAACGTGGTGGCCTTGCTCACTGAGGAACCGCTTCGCAACGTCACCTTGGCACTTGCCCAACTGGAGCCACTCTTCCAGGGAAACACGGCCTGGGGTGGCGGCACTCTTTACTGGACAAGAGGCCATTCGTGAGACGATGCACCTGGTTGCCCGAGCGGGCAGAAAGCTCCTCCATCCTCGAAAGGATGAGGAGGAGGAGAAGGAGAAGGAGGAGGAGAAGGAGAAGGAGGAGGAGGAGGAGGAGGAGGAGGAGGAGGAGGAGGATACGGAGGAAACGGAGGAAGAGGAGGAGGTGAGAGGAGAGGAGGAGGAGGAGGAGGAGGAGGATGTTGAGGAGGAGGATGTTGAGGAGGAGGTGGAGGAGGGCGGAGAAGGAAGGGAGGAGGAGGAAGAGGAGGAGGAGGAGAGGAGGAGGAGGAGAGGAGGGGAGGAGGAGGAGGAGGAGGAGGAGCAGCAGGAGGAGGAGGAGGAGGAGGAGGGAGGAGGGAGGGAGGAGCAGGGAGGAGCAGGAGCAGCAGCAGGGGCAGGAGGGCAGCCCCTGCCCCCCCCCCTCCCCCCCGTGGGGCCTTCCTCCGCCACGGCGCCGCCTGCGTGTAGCCCAGGAAGAGGACGTCCGGCTCCTCCTCGCGCAGGGCCGCCAGGGCCTCTCCGCCGCGCGTTCGGCGCCGCTGGCGGACGAGTGAGGGCCGGCGGCGAGCGCAGGGGGGACGCGAGAAGGAGAAGGCCGTCTCGGCAGGCGGCGGGGCCTTTCAGAAGCCCTCGCGCATCCTGAGAAGCTCTCTGCATCTTCGTGGAAGGCCTGGAAAACTGGTCCGAAGGCCGGGGGGCTTCCGAGCCTGCCGAGGAGGCCCGCCCCTTCTTCCCTCCCCTCCGGGCTCGCCGCCGAGAGGGGGGTGACCGTCCACCGTCCTGTGTCTGCTGGCCGCCTCCCGCACAGCTCGGATGTGGCCTTCTGGAGCGAGATGCGCGCAGCGCGCAGGCGACAGCCTCGTTTGGAATATCGCCGCCCCTCCATTATTGTAACTGGTGCGTGTTGCGCGTGGCAAGCTCGCGTGCGCGGCGCGAAAGAAACGGCCCCCTTCTGAAAACGGGCCCCCATGCATCCGCAAAGCTGTTGCAAAATTGAAAGGTGGGGGCGGCGCTGAGGCGGGAGCTCCGTTTTGCAAACAACCCCTTCCCTCTCCATCAGCATCAGCGTCACTGCTGCAAGTTTACAGTTCAGGATCATACGCAATGAGGAAGCACGCGGGCTGCCCGACCAGCCCCACCGACACGCCTGAGGGTGCGACACGGAGGGGCGCTTCACCATGACAAAGGATGGAGGAGGAGGAGGACGACGCCAGGAGGTGGAGAAAGAGGCCAGGAGGAGGCCAGGAGGAGGAGGAGGAAGGTTCCTCCTCCCTCCTCCCAGCTTCCGATGTCTTAATTTCGAGAGCACGGGCTCCCCGAAGTCCCGACCCTCCTCCTCCTCCTCCTCCTCCTCCTCCTCCTCCTCCTCCTCTTCCTCTTCCATCCTCCTCCTCCTCCTCCCCCTCCTCCCTCCTCCTCCTCCTCCTCTCCTCTCTCCTCCTCCTCCTCTCTCCTCCTCCTCCTCCTCCTCCTCCTCCCCCTCCGCCCTCCTCCTCGTCCAGGGCCCAGCGAGGGCCCCGGGAGGCCGACAACTGCCAGAAGCCTCCCGTCGACCTCTGAGATCCGACGTCGCGGGGAAATGCAACATCGCGAACATTGCATCCTCTGACGACGCGCGGGTGTCGGAGCCCCTCCTGGTGGGCGGGGAGCATGTCCTCATCCGCGGCCTCGCGGGCCGGGGCCCCTGGGCTGCGAAACTGCGGATGCGGGGGCGTCTTCGCCGATGCCCCCCCCCACCCCCCGCGGAGACGTGTCTGTACGACCGCGCATCCACGGGGCCGTGCGCTGGAATCCAGACTGCGAGGGCGTCAATGGGAAACAAACAAAACGAGCAACGAACAACCAAACATGCCAGCCGCCCGAGCCGCTCGGGCCCCTCGCGGCCTGCGGCAGCCTGCTCGCAAAGGCGGGGGTGGGCTTCGCGTCGTCCTCCAGCACCACCAGTGGCCCGCCGCCGTGGACGCCCTGTCGCAGAGCCGCGCCGCCGTCGCCGACGCGGGGGGGAGCAGCAGAACCAGGAGGAAAAAGGATGGCGGGAGGAGAAGGAAGGCCGAGATGGGGGGGAGAAGGAGGGGCTAGGAGGGGGAAGGAGGAAGAGGAGGGGGAGGAAGAGGAGGAGGAGGAGGAGGAGGAGGCTGAAGGTGACGGGGGAGGGGAGGAGAGAATAGGATGGATGATGATGATGATGATGATGATGATGATGATGATGATGAATGATGAGGAGGAGGAGGAGGAGAGAGGAGGAGGAGGAGGAGGAGAAGAGGAGGGGAGAGCGGAAGAGGAGGAGGAGGAGGAGGTAGGAGGAGGAGGAGGAGGAGGCAGAGGAGGAGGAGGAGAAGGGAGAAGGAGGAGGATAAAGAGGAGGGAGAGGAGGAGGAGGAGAACGAAGAGGAGGAGGAGGAGGAGGAGGAGGAGGAGGAGGAGGAGGAGGAGGAGGAGGAGGAGGAGGGGGCGGAGGAGGAGGGCGCGCGACAGCAGCAGAACGGAGCAGGAATGGAAGACGGAGGGGATAGAGGAGGCGGAGAAAGATGTGGCGGCGCAGGGATGAGAGGCCCACGAGCAAAGCAACATCCTCGGAACCTGAATCGCTCCGCACAACAGTGTTAGTGGCTCCCCGAAGAACCGCGCACGAGGAGATGGAGAAACGGGGAGAGGAGGAGTGAAAGGAGAAGCCGCGCAGCAAAACCCCCGAAGGGCCCCCCCCCCGAACGAACAGGGGCAGACCCTCCTGCAGTCTGCAAGGCCCAGCTCAGTCCTACGGCCAGGCGGGGGGGGGGGCAGTAAGCAGGAGGGGATGCGGAGGAGAAGGAGGCAGCAGGAGGCAGAGGCCCGAGAGCGGGAGCAGGGAGACGACGACGGCGCCGGCGACGGCGACCACGACGACCCCTCTCCTCCGAAGGCGCGGCTCTCTCGCGGCATTGGCACCAGGGGCTTCGACCACCTCCCAGAGGCCAGATCTCCGTCCCGAGGTCGTTGTCTGGCGGCCCCGGGAATCGGGAG